GGCGCCATCTTCCCTGAGGGCGCATCGAGGAGAACTCAACAGCCCGAGCTGTGCGGTACATCTTCCTGCACCTTCCTTCTAAAATGTGCTCACGGGCAAGGCAGGGCAACTTGCAAACTGCATCCCAGATTCAGTATTATTTGGAGACGACACAAAACCGTGAGGTTTTCTCCGTACAGAACCACAAAACTGCAGGGGTCTCCTGGTCTCTGTGGTCGTTCATTCACCTGCCCAAGACTCTGGATGAAGGCACTGCCTTGGCCCCAGTTCAGGTGGCTGCACACAAAAACTTAATGATGAAAAAGCAAATACAGGAGGAAATTCTTCAAATCCAAAAGTCCCCATCCCTTCCTCTGCACTGTGGAGGCTGTAGCAGAAGTGTTTCACTGGAGAGTTGTTAAAGGAACTGGGCACTGATGGCCTGCACCCTGTTCTCCCACTTCAGAGGGTATGTTCACGCTGGTTTCTGGAGATTCTGGGGGAGGGAAAAGTGCTGCATGACAGACAGATATGGCCTTTTCAGTACTAGGGGAGATAAGGGGAGTCAGAAAAATCATTTAACATCAAACTCTGCTGTTACTGTGTCTGCTGCACAGTTTGTGATGTAAATCATGAAGCAGAAAGAAAAAATCTGACAGCTGTAGAGGAGATTGCATGGACTTAATCTGACCTGTGCTTCATTTTTTAGAGGTGATTCTCTGCCACATTCTGTTTGCTCCTGTAAAAGACAATTTTTAATTTTTTTGGCTGTGTCAGCACTGTCAGTTCACAAACTAATCTAGCAGTAAATCAAGATGCTCTGTATTTGAGTGTTCTGCTGTCTCAGAGCCAGGAAGACTTCTCTGTATGTCACTTCACTTGATCCTGCAGAGAACATCCCTGCTATTATTGGAGTGACTCCGGTCAAAAGGAGTAGCACTGTCTTTGTGCAGACTGGCTTTGATCAGGACCGTGGCCTGTTCAGAAAACAGAGGTTAGAGCCAACTCAGCTGAGCTCTGTGATTTGCAGGTGGTGGGAGAAGGGTCATGCCAAGCAGGTGACTAGCGCAGCTGGATTTTGTGTCTGCTAGGAACAAAACGTGGTCAGGTAAATCCATGTGCAAGTGACCAGAGCACATGGAGCCGGTTGTTTGTCATTGAGAGCTCAGGTGCAGGTGGTGTGCAGATCGGTGTCTCATGGCAGTGCTGGATGCAGCCAGCAGGGCTGAGGCTGGAGGCCGTGGTAGTTGTTTCCCCAGGAAAAAGGAGAGTGTGTGTCTGTGTGCACAGGTACCCATGATCCAGAGTGCACGTGGGTCATGGAACGGGTTTGAAAAGCTAAACATCCATAAGGCTTAAAAGGCGCAGAAAGAAAAAAATAAGTCTCAGTATCTCTCACTGAGCTTGTGTTTGCTTATCCAAAGGTGCACAGTAAATAAAACAGGGATCAGAGTTTGAAGCCCAGAGACCTGTGCTGTGAGCTTGTCCTGCAGAAGGCAGGAGGGGACAGCTCTGTGAGCCCGTGGCACTGAGAGCTGCACACTGAGGCCAGCTCACTTCCTGCACAGCAGCTGGGAGAGCAGAGTTAGAGCTGGTACCTCTGCCACAGAACAGGCACAGTCCCAGTGATTCTACCTTGGATACACTGGACAACGAAATTCTATAGAAGATGTGAAGAAAACCTAGGTGGGAAACACTTGCTATCCGCTTTTTATTTTGGAAGTGACGTACATATGTGTCTGATACAACTTGTGAATGTGCACGGCCCTGTAAAAATAGAAAAATAAATGTTGGCTTTCTAGTATTCCATATTGATTTGGGAAGTTTGAAACGTTAATGTTTCTAAGTTGATTTAAGTTGAGAATTCCTGGCCATGCTGACAACCTCTCCATGCAGTAGTGGTGCTGGGAGCTGTTTTGCAAATGTTTCTAACCCATTTAATGCTAAATAGCACCCGGTTTGTTAACAGAGATTTTTGTACCTGTATAAATATACTTTGTTGTGTGCAACCTGATGTGGTTAATAAAATATTTTTAACTCCAGATAAAGACACAATATACAAAGATTGAATAACAAATGTTAAAGCTGAGAATGATATAAATGTATATCTTTGCTTATCCTAGGCTGGAGCATTCTGAACTAGAAGTTCAGAATGAAAGGAGAAACTATAATGTTAGAGAAGTAGAATGTGGTTAATAGATCTAAGGCCAGGCAACTAAACTAAGTAAATTAGGGTATTTAATATCCTGTCTTGGCATAATTCCATTTGTGTTATGTATTTTGGTGCAAATCGTTCATAGGTGTTCACTCTAAGCCTATTCCCTGCTGGTTTGGAATACTGTCCTTCTCCTCTCATTGAACTGAGGTTCCATGTGAGCACACAAAGCTCAGAAGGACAGCTGTAATGATATTGCTATGATTTCATTGGCAGCACAGCTATCAAACACTGCTGCCCAAGGCTGGAATTTGCAACTAAATCTGCTAATTAGGTGAAGAGCTAAAATAGCAGTAGGTGCCTGTCTGCATCCTTAGGCACCTAAGTACCTTCCAAACACAGCCCTATAGCCACTCTTTTTTTTTTGTAGAACAGCAGTGATAGTCATTCCTCACTTTGCAGTTATCCTGGGAACACTGAGGTGTCTCAATTCCACCATAAAAGGGGCAGCAAATGAGAGGATCCTTCCTGTCCCTGTCCCTTTTACTCCTCATTAAGGCAGCGTGTTGTGCTGACTTCCTGGTGTGTGTCATGGGCAAAGCACCCCTTTGGCTTGTTTAGAGCATAATCCATGGAGCAAGCCATGGTGCCAGGATTCAGGGAAGGCTGTGGAAGGAGCACGCTGTATTTGGCACTGCATGTTTTAAATGGTCACTCTGTCTTACTGTCTTCTAAGCCCCCATTTCTACCTGAGCTGGGGTGGAAAACTTGCAATGCAATGACTGCCCTCAAAGCAGCTGTGGATAGGAGTGGGTTTGTCTTGTGTGGGTGGTCAGTGGGGGTTCCTGGCTGATTCCATGGCACTGACCTGGGCCAGCACTGGTTCCCCTTCTGTCCCATCCCTGCTCCCCTGTGCAGAGGTGCAGGGTCTGTGTGTTTAGAACTGCTTGCACGGGGAGCTGGGAGGAATAGCTTGACTCTGCTTCTGGCATGGATCTTTTCCCCACAGCTCCTGAGCCTCTGTGAAAGAAATATGGCTTAAAGCAAAACTAAATGCACAACCCAAGTGTAGTAATGAACAAAAAGTGAGAGTATTATAAAAAGATGTCCTGAAGGATTTATAAATGTTTCCTGTCTGTGGCTCATATGGGAACACTGACTACATAAAGCAAAATCACTTAGACTGTAGATTTTTATACCGACTGTATGAAATTAATGGTTTAAGGAGAAACTAAACCAAATTCTCCTTGTTACTGTTATAGCCCTACAAGTACTATTTTGAAGAGAGTATTTGCCTCAGATTAATTCTGACATAATTAATCTGTGTCTGGAAACAGAATATTTTTAATAGACAGCAGAGCTGAAAAACAGTTGTTTTAACTATAGGAAACTTTTTTTTCCTCCCTGGTCACAGGGTCTTTTCTCAAAGAAGTTATTGTGGTGATGCTACCTTGAGTTTTTTCTATTTCATCAAACTGTTTGAAGGTGGTCATTAGGTCACTGGCTATTTTTTATATACAGAAGGAACCAGTACAGATTCAGATAATTTTATGGAAGAACTAGTAATTATTTCAATTACAGCAGCTATGTTGTAATAAAGAAGTAGTGCACATTCCCTTGCAGATTTACATGCCCACATCTGCATTACCATTAATAAAAAAAATATTCATGATTTTTAAAAGCTGATTTTAAACTTCAAAGTAGGAATTAATTTTTTTCAAAACTTAGCCAGCAGCAGCTCCATAGTTGAAAGAAATAAAAGACTTTTAGTTGGCAAAGTCCAGATGAAACTCTTAATGGAAAAAGGATGCTATGTGAAAAAGTCCCTAAGATGCCTGTTGCCTCTTAATATTCCCAGGCAGAAAACTATTTCCCAAAGGTTTGCAGGTTTGAAAGCTATTTGTGTTTGGCCTCTTTGGTGTCGATGATGAACATGGAAAGTGGGATGGGTTCCTGCACGACGGGCTCTACCTTTGAAATATGAGATGGCAAATCATTTCTTTAAACCCACTGGTTGGCAAAGCCTGGGAAAGAAATGTAACAGCACGTGGAAAAAATGCAATCTAGAAGGTCTCCAAGTAGGCTCCTCAGTGGAGAGCTGTGGTAGAGGGGAAGGGAGGTGCAATGATAATAAGTACAGAAATGAATTAGTGGTGTAAGAAGGGGAACTGGGAGGGTTTTCCCCCTGTCTTCAGGATAAGAGCTCGGCAACATTCACAGTGCAATAAAAGGTTACAAACAAAACAATTTTCTTCCTTTAAAACATATTCTGCAGTTAAACCAGACGTTTTTGAATTCAGGTGCACAGAGAACTGTTGAAACACAGGATGAAGCTCTGAAAATGCTGGTGGTTCACTGGTGTGCAATGGCATCCCTCGGTTTTCTGCAGCTCAGGATGTGTCCCGTAGTGCTTTAACCATGTAGCCTGCTACCAAGTTGTTAAGGAGTTACTTAACAAAACAAACTATATGGGATGCAGCTCCTGGATTCCAGTGAGGAAGTGCCTCCCCTGGGTGCATCTCCTCACTCGCTACATTGGGCACAGTTGTTATAATCCCTCTATCTCCCCAGAGAGGATTTTCCCTTACATATACACGTGTGTGTGTACATAAACAAAATTAGGATTGATGTCTTAAATGTCAAGTGACAGTGTAGATCCACTCAGTTCAAGCTGTAACTACTTACAGCAGTCATTAAAAATCAGTGTTTATAAAGAGCATTACCTGCCTGTAACAAAATTGCTTGGGGAGATTTACAGGGTGATGTCTGGTGGGTGACAGATCAGGGCAGTGCTGAGACATGATTCTGAAATATGTGCTTGTCTCTCTGGGCATCCTTAAAGAGAATAAAGGAATTTCCTTTCTAAGGAAAAAGAAAAGAAAAATTGTAGCTTCCAGGGAATTCAGAGTAGGAAAATTTTAAATCTGTCAGCAGTGGTGGTGTTTGGAGGTTTCACGAGCAATGCATGAAATAATGTTCACTGAGCTGGAGAACAGCAGTATCTGGTAAAGAACCTTTCGAGGTTTCAGTGCCCAGCATTCCTTTTCCAAGCACAGTTCTTAACACTGTGTCAGGGCTTGAGGGTTGTTGGCAAAGTGTTTTTCCATCCTCCACTTGCAGAGTACAGCATCACAGAAAGCAGGATTCCAAGAGCCCCCCAGATGTTCTGTTGGCCCCTCCTTTGCCTGGAGAAAGGATAAACTGTACTTATTCATTCCCAACAGATGCCTGTCAAACCTGTTCATAAAACTCTAATGAGCGAGATCCTGCAGTCTCCCTGGAAAATCCATGGCAGCGCTTCATGCTATTAATCCTTCCTTTTCTCTTCCCCCTGCCCAAGCAGCCTAAATCTCCCCACATTGTTCATGTTATGTGATGATCTGGAATGCAACTCTGTTTGCTTTTAGAAAACTGCATGAGCAACTTGGCTGTAGATGCCGTTCAGTTCCCTTGGCAGTCTCACACTCGAATCCTGCACTAGGAAATTCTTGCCAGTTCTTTGTGATTTTCGTGTCTGCCTCATGATACTCAGTGTTTTTCCTGAAGCTGCAGTTACTGAGCCACAGATCTTCGCTTTTATTACAGAAGGAAAAAAAGAATCAAATGTCCCTGCTCAGGAAAATGCTTGCAAAGACTTATTAAAAAAAAGGCAAACAAAGGAATTGTCAACCAGTGTTTTCAAGTTTGCTTTGTAAAATTTTAGGCTTTTTAAATATTTGGGCTGCAAAGTATTAGAGATTTTGATCCCAAAAGTGCATGAAGGTCAGGTAACTTGTCTGGGTCTGAGCAAGCACAGCACAATCAACCCAGAGAAGTGAATTCTAAACCTTGGTAGTCTAAAAATGCAAAAATATTTTTCTGTTGCTTTCAGAATCGACATAGAATTGAATAGTACACTGCCCTGTAGAGCCCAAGATGAACTGTACTTTACGAAACCGTGGCATTTGCAATCATCATACTAATACCAAACCATGCTAAGGAGTGTAGTGTTTGCCTTGAAGGAATTGAAGGTTGAAGTGGTTCAGAAAGTTTGGTAAACAGGGAACTGCATTCCTATAAAAAGGAGAATACTGAGATAAAGTGTTCAGATGGGGCAGCTCATTTTCAGGAGGAATGTGGGAGGGATATTCATTCCTGCTTTGTCACATTTACTTATTTATTTTTCAAAATGAGTGTTACTTCATTTTCTTATTACTTTTTTCACATAGATGTTACTTTTTATGACAAATAAAGTAACCTCAGACATGTAACCAATACTAGGGTATAAGGATCTGTGTCTTAAAAACATATTTAGGATGTTATAGATCTGTAGTCAAGTGGAGTTACTTGTTTCAGAACAGTTTTGCAAAGTTCTTCAGAAAATAGCATTAAAGAAGGGATCGAGGGGGAGAGAAGTGCCAACTGTCCCTCAGTTTCTACGTTATTAACACATACCAGATGTCTCTCTTACAGCATAGATTACGAGTTGTGACTGAATGAATTTTAGTAAAAAACCTGTAACTTTTCAAGTCAGTCAAATATTAAATGCTCTGAGTATTTTTTTCTCTGTATCGCTTGTAAGTTTGCTACGATGTTCAAAATGGGTTTGGGTTTTTTCTCCTCCTCTTACCCCAAACCAAAATCCCTCTGGTGTTTGATGGCTTTCTGCAGATGATGGCTGGACTTAGTGGCTTTGACCCTGGTTCATTTTGATTAAGCTTGTTAGTATTTTATGGGTTTAGTATCTGTTTTACAACGTTTTCATTACTGTGTATTTTATTAAGGTTCAAGTGGTTTGTATTTTTATGGTTGCATCTGGTCTGCATAAACTCTGCTCCAGTTTAAAAAGCTGCTTGTCTCCATCCTGAGCATGGGGAATTCTGAGGAATAGTAGGATGTGTGTGTGTCAGTCACAGGTTGGCACCTGAAAACTCTTGCTTCTGGACTAGCTAATTTGACTTTGGGCAGCAATGATCTCACTGCCCAAAGTATGGAAAAGGCTGTCTGTCTGTCTTCATGCCTTTGGGTACTCTTACACGTGGATGTTTCATATTTCCACACTTCAGTATTTTGCAGTGTTTGCCTTGAAAACAAGAGGAGTTATTCTTGAGAGGTGGTTCAGGATGCCACTGGGGCAAGCTCCACGATCCAAACCCACTGCTGGATCCTTACATTTTTTAGTCAGTGTTTAAGAAGAAATCCTGCCTATATCAGAGTCAAGGAATCTTGAGTTTAAGTACCCATTAAGTTGATAAGTTGTTTTTCTCTTGATAATCATACAAGTTGCTGATTTGCTTTGGTGTTCAACTGGCTGCATGTTGTATAAGCTTCTCCTGCCTATACTGCTTGATTAATAATGTTTAAACAGGAAAGAAAGGATGCCTTCTTATTTTAGTCCCATAGATTATTATATTTCTGAAAGGCAAAATAGGAGGACTTCAAATGTAAATTTAAATAATACTGTATTGAATAACTAGTCTCTGAGACTGTGAATGCACTGACAATGTATCCCAAGTCTTTCTTGGTTTTATCGTATCCTTTTTCAAGTTGTTTGTTCTAGAGCCCTGAAAATTTGAGGGAGTCCTTACCTGACTTTCTTTTGAGGCATCTGTTTGTAAACCATTTGCTGCAGGACTGAAATACTTCTGGTCCTTCCCAATTTCTCCTACCAGATGAATTCTGTTAATGACTTGAGTGTCCCAGTATGCCCTAGGTATATAAACACACACATGAACACAAATATTTTTGAGCACACAGATAAGCACACAAAGTTTTGCAAACAGTAAGATGGGAGTAAAACATATTTGGTGCTGATAAAGAAATTGGACTGATAGGGCTCTGGTGGGTTTTAATTTCCACTTTTAGTTCTTCAGGTCAGTCAGTGATTTGAAGGTGGTGTGTGCCAGCCTCCCAACTGAAGAAAGGACAAAATGCCTGGTTAATTCCCTGGTGTGCCTGTGCTCTGTGCAGTGTCAGGGGCCTCAGCTCTGCTGTGCTCAGCCAGAGCGGTGACACTGAGTGGGACTAGTTTGACACCGTGGAACCACAGGAGTATTGCCACAGCACAGTGCACAGCAGTTGGCTTATGTGCACCTGTGCTCTCAAAAGAGTAAGTTTATGTCTGCAAGGTTTTGGTCTTGTTGCTGCAGGACAGCCCTGCCAATGAAAAAGCAAAATGAAGGTTAAATCAACACCTGCTCCTTGCAGAGTCCTGTCAGTGCCACCCAGCTGGGGCTGGAGGGAGTTCCGTTCCCCACCACTCTCGAGTGTGTTCCACACAGTGGACAGCCCCTGTCCAAGCCATGGGCTGCCAGGTTCTCCACGGGAATGTTGTGGGAAATGCTGTCAGAGGCTTTATTAAAGCCCAGGTAGACACAGTCCTTCGCTCATCCGTAAGGGTGGCAGCCTGCTTTAGGATTTCCTTCATGCAAAGGGCCCAGCCTGCCTGGACTCCTCTGCCCTTCAGGAATGCCTTCCCAGCGAGTCTGCCAGCCTGTCTCCTGCTATGTTGTGCGCTGAGGTGACACGAGAGATGGC